AGAGAGAGAGAGAGAGAGAGAGAGAGAGAGAGAGAGAGAGAGAGAGAGAGAGAGAGAGAACAGGCAAGTTTCCAATCTCGCGGCTGGCCTCATTGTACTTCCATCGATAGGATGAGCAAAATTGAATGAATCTACACTGCCACATGTGCGTGTGTGTGTGTGTGTGTGTGTGAGAGAGAGAGAGAGAGACAGATTTTTCCATCGATGAGCAACGCACCGGCCAACAGGTAAGTCTCCATTCCCACTGCTGGCCAACGCTACTTCCATCGATAGGATGAGCAAAATCAATTGAATCTTCTGCGAGAACATGGAAATATACACTACACTGTGTGTATGTGTGTGTGTGTGTGAGAGAGAGAGAGAGAGAGAGAGTTTTCCAGCCATGCACGCAGAGAGATAGAGAGAGGCTACTTCCTCGATAGGATGAGCAAAATCGGAATGAATCTTCCACTAGAATATGGAAATATACACTGCTGTTCAGCCATGCACGCACAGAGATAGAGAGAGGCTACTTCCATCGACAGGATGAGCAAAATCGGAATGAATCTTCCCTTAGAACATGGAAATGCACACTGCCACTTTTTTTCTTTTATTTTTTTTGTGTCACAAAGAGAGAGAGAGAGAGAGAGAGAGAGAGAGAGAGAGAGAGAGAGAGAGAGAGAACAGGTAAGTCTCCATATCTTTTTTGTGTTGTGTGCATTGAATCCAAACACGCTAAAACGCGCAGCTATGAACTTTTATTCGAACACAAGTGGCGCGCCGGCCTCGAACACTCTGAAAAGGGCTGCTATGAACAGCGCGAATGGAAACAAAGCACCGCCGCAGAAGATTCGTTCTCCAAGCAGAAAACTAAACAACCCACTAACCAAAACTGCAGGTGGGGCAGAAGTTGCAGAAGACATTTCATTTTCTGCCCCTTTCAGACGGTGGCCAAAGGCCGAAAAAAATATGTGCCAATTTTTTTTGGGCGGCCCAGAGCATGAAAAAATGCCCTGGGCCACCCAAAAAAAAATTGGCCGTTGGCCTAGGGGGCCGCCATCCGGACCGCTTACCGGAAACTGGTACTGGATGCCGGACCCTGGAGAGTCCGGATCCCTTGGCGGGGGTCCGGATCATAGCTTTTTTTTTTTTTTTTTTTTTTTTTTGAAAGACACCCGGGGTGGTGCTAGGGGTGCCGGTAAGAGCAGACACCGCTAGCACTCCCAGGGAGGCTC